TAGTATGTATAATAATTTTATATTTAGGACCAGAAGAGTAGCCTAATGGTATGAAGATTGTCTTCTTAAATCAAAAGATTGTTTTAGTTATTGAGTTTTAGGATCATTATCTTACAATTTAAAGAGTATTTATGAATTATTCATTATTAAAATTTTCATTCCAAAAATGACATTAGAAATTATATATACTATATTCATAATTTCATATATAATTCACATCCTCACTTATTAAACTAATTCTCCAGAGTTAATAGTTACCATTTGTTGGGGAGACAGAATTTGTAGGAGGGGGTGGAGGTTGATTAAACCCTAGACCAAAACCACTACAATCTGCTCCAAAATGGCCTGCAAACAAATAAAGAAATGTCATATACAGGACTGATTTTTCAACAAAGTGAAAAAAATAATCTTATTATGCATAATTTCCCAGTTCTAATATAGAAAGAGCATAGACAACATATATAATTCCCTGGATAGGAAAAAAAAAAAGTTCAAAAAGCATGAAAATTTCAAGACCACAATTAAGCATGTATAAATAGGAAATAAATAAAAACACACACACTCTAATCCTCCAAAAACTTATTTATTTTTAATTAAAAAAATTATCATGTGATCCCAAGTAAGTAATTTACTTATTAAAAAAATCTCACGAAAAAGTGAACAGCATGTAATAACAAGTTTCGATACAGAAATTGATGATAAGTGCATACTGCTCACTTGTTATAATAATTTGAAAGAATTATTGTGAGATCCGATAAAAAAATATAATTATAAAAAAAATCTCAATAATAAAAAGCAAGGGGCATGTATGAAGATGAAAAAGTAAAAAGAAGAGAATGAAGAAGGAAGGAAGCAGTACATTTATTGAAACAAGGCAGCTTAGGATTGCCAAAAAGATTAGCGGAGCCATCAAAGCATTGGCAGTGATGATCAGAGCCTTCCCTCTCACAGCTTCCTTCCGGCCCACATATCGTACTCACCCAGCAAGCTGTCCATTCATTACTCACTCAACTTCTTAATCATTCATTTTGCTTCTTAAATTTATAACTTTTTCCCTTCAAACCGTGGATCCCCAGTAATGGGGTAGTTTCTAATGCAAGATCACACAAATTCTTATAAATAATACTCCTCCGATCCTTATTATAAGACCCAATTTGACTTTTTATTTGGTCCTAATTATAAGACCCAATCCATTTTCTCTCTTATATTTATGCATTTTTTTCCAAGATAATCCTTCTAATAATGATAGTTTTAGCCAATATACTTAATTAACAAGGATATTTTAGGACTAACAACACTTATTTATTATAAATAACCAACTTAACTTACTTCCTTAATCTCCTCAAATAAGTCAATTGGGTCTTATAATTAGGACCGGAGGAGTAATTAATTGCATTAACACATACGGTCAGATATGTTAGGGGGCTGAAACTGAGATGGTGGAGGCGGCGGCGGTGGCGGCGGACTCCCATTTCCACAGTGAAAATCAACAGTGCCTGCAATAATTCATTATTGCTTGCACACACACATATACATATACATACATATATATATATATATATATATATATATCAGAATGGAAGAGATAGAGATGAAGAAGAAGAAGACAGACAATTGGGAAGAACACAGGGGAGGTGAGTGTCGTTATTAAGGTTGGCCCATCCTTCATTGCAAATGCATTCCACAAATGGGAAATCCTTTGCACCTTGGCATCTTCCTTCCCCACAGAACGCTACTCCACATAATAATCCTTCTGCTAAATCTTTAAACATATACAAATAATCACATCAAATTTCTTGTTTATGATTAAAACATGTTATATAACCTCACTTGTTTATTTTGATTGCATACAATTAATGTCATTTTATTAGAAGCAATCCCATTTAAGATTTAAGGTACGATATTACCCTAAATATAGCTAAATTCTTTTTTTTTTTTAATTAGAGAAATATGCATTAACCAGCTGAGATTACAAGTTAAATTGAACCTACAATCTCCCTCTTATAAAAAGACTTTCATGCCACTTAGGCTGCAGAATGATTTGAAGGTTAGTGACATTCTATCGTGTGCACGATGTGCAGCTAATTACCATTTGTTGGAGGGACGAGATTTGCAAGAGGGGATGATGCAAATGGAGGTGGAGCTTGATCAAACCCAAGATTAATACTCTTGCAATCTTCCCCTAAATTGCCTGCAAAATATGAAAACAAAAATCAAAAGCTCAACAATTTTTTTAAAATAATTCAAACCAAATATTGAAAAAGAAAAAGATTTTTTTCAAGAAGAAAGGGAAAAAAATTATTGTAATAAACTATGATATAAACATAAAAATTAGGACGTAAAATATACATTTCTTGAAGCAGGCGAACTTAGGATTGTTGAGGAAATTAGCAGAACCTTGGGAGCACTGGCACTTGAAATCAGACCCGTTTCTGACACAGCTCCCATCTGCCCCGCAATAATTGATCCAGCAAGCTGTCCCATTCATTATAGCCATTTCAGTTTTAATTCACACATTTCATCATAACCAGCAATATAATTCCCAGGAATCATCAACAGAATATGAAAACCCCTGACGGTCAGAAATATTGGACGGTTGAAGTGGAGGAGCCGGCGATAACAGCGGCGGCGGTGGCGGAGCAGCATTTCCACATTGAGAATGAACTGTGCCTGCAATTCATTTATTATGTATATTACAATTCCTTCTCTTTGTGCCCCCATATATGTGTGTGTGTGTGTAAGAATGAGATGAAGAAGAAGAAGAAGACAGACAGTTGGGAAGAACACAAGGGAGGGAAGTGATATTGAGAAAGGTGGTCCAGCCAGGATTGCAGATGCACTCCACAAAGGGGAATTGGTCTGTCCCTTGGCATCTTCCTTCCCCACAGAACATTCCTTTGCATAATTCATCTGCATTCATATCCACATTAAGCCATTATTGTCATTTCTTCAAACACTACTCTCAACCAAATCAATTGCAGAGACAGACACAGAGCAAAAGGTGGTTACATATATACCTCGTAAAGGGTTGGAGGCTGCGAGGTTGCTGGTGAAAACACTGAAGAAAACCAGAACAGTAAAAGGACCATCCACCGCACGTTTCAATTTGGAAATTCCCATGTACACACTATTCAGCGCTTCCAATCCCTGAACTTGAAATATTACTGGCCGTGGCTAATGCTACTCATACATATATACAAAGAAAGTGAGATTATTTGATAGCATCATGCACCAAAAGGTTTTAAAACAGCAAATAACCTCTTTGTGAGTAGGAAGTTGCGGGTTTAATCTCGCTTGTCTTTCTCTGATCAAATTAGTTTTAGCATAGGTTCAAATTAAAACCTCCAATTCAGGAGTAGCTAAATAAAAAGGATTTAAAATATGGTCACACATATTTTTAAATCAATGCGTTCCCTTAATTTCTCCACCCTTGTGGGATCGTGGCTGAAGGGAATGTAACAAGAAAGTGTAATAATGACAGGCGGTTGTAGCAAAGGATGAGAGTAGAAGAAGACATTCGCATAAATCCAATATTTCGATTTTAACCATACAAATCTCGGTTGGGATTGCCACCACCAGCCGTCTTCATATTCATTGTCATCAGAAACTTCTTAGATTTTTTTTTTTTTAAGAAAACAATTCTGCTTTGATAGTTTTATTTTTCAAATAACTAGTTAACTAATCAAAGATGAAAAAATCAGGTGCAATTGTGTGCATGCGTGTGGAGCACGAGTCATGACTACGTTAAGCATTTTCATATATTATGTAATTTAAAAAATAAACTTTTGTTTAGAAGTAATATTTTAACATTACATATTTAAATTTGCAATCTTTACAAATAGAACTGAGATGATGATACCTTTAGTTTTCTTAACTAGAGAATAGTCCATCTTAAGGTACGGAAGACAAGACCAGCAATTAAACCGGTTAAGACAGTAGGTCAAGAGTCATTGGGTTAGACCGGAGTCAATCCGGGAGTCAAACTTATAAGAAATAAAAAATAATTTAAATTTTCACTAAGAACTAGATATTAATTTAATATCTTGAATCACTAGTAAAATAATCACATACTTACAAATTTTTATAATATCATGCTACTAAAATTACTAAATATTCATCCCAACAAACTATCAAAATAAATATATGATAACAAAATATTCCTTCCTATAGTTAATAGTTATTCAATGACTATGTCCTAATTATCAACAGCTTTTAAAAAAATCATCAAAATAATTTTGTTTTTTAAAAAAAGGCAATTGGGATACTACTAAAATCACTAAATATTCATCCTAACAAAATATCAAAATAAATATATGATAGCAAAATATTTCTTCCCATAGTTATTCAATAACTAAGTCCTAATTATCAACGATTTTTTTAAAAAATCATCACAATAAATATTTTTTTAAGGGGAACCGGGTTAACCCACCAAACCGGGTGGGTTACCTGGGTCATTACCAGTTTGCCTCAGGTTTATCCGGGTCACACAAGGCCGGCTCACTTCCGGTTTAAATGCTCAAACAGACTGATTACCAAGCAACTTTGCCGGTTTCTGGTTTGAACAGGTCGGTCCAGTCTGGGTCTCAATACACTGATCTTTTCTCAGGCATGTGGTTCATAACAATTAGGTGTGAGATTTGAACTTGAATGTTATCGTTATTAAAATATCTAACATCTTTTATAGATGAAATGAAATTTGACTTTTAATTTGGTTTTAAATATAATACTCCAATCCATTTTATTTTCAATATACATTCATTTAGCCCTGAAGTAATCCCTATAATTATTGCATATATTAAAGAGTTACTATCAATTTGTAATTCAAACACACATAATTAATAAAAATATTTTAGAGAAAACATCTATTTACTACAAATAACTAATTTAAATAACTTTCTTAATCTCCTTAAATTAGTCAATTATGTTTTATATTAAAGAGCGAAGGTAGTATTTTCTGAAAAACTACTATGCCATGAAAATCAGACATTTCCAAAATGGCATAAGAAGAGAAGTAACGATTTAAAGCATATGGGATTATGTTAATGGTTGTTACAGATACAACAGAAGACCTTCTCTTGGACTAGAAAATTACAAATGAACATATTAATAAAGACAAACCACCACACGGCCAAAGAACTAATAGAATTGGTGTCACGCAATCTAATTATGCAGATCCAAATTCAGCAAACCACTTCTCATGACGTTCAATGTCAGCCTGTGAAACACTTCGTTGCACCTTAGCTAAAGCTTCTTCAAAATCACACATGGCAACTGGATCCTTCGAAATCTCATCTTTTGACATGTTCTTTATCTCGTCACGAGTCTTTCCTGCTATCTTACGCCTCATACCATTCAACGAAGCATCGCGACAGACATTCGTCAGATCATCCCCACTGTAGCCCTCTGTTCTGCGAGCCACTTCATCTATATTTACATCCGGGGCCACCTGATCCAACACAAGTTCCATTAGCCTTACCAAAAGAGTTAGCTTCTGTTAGCATCAATGAATCTGATATCATTTCCACAGGCTATTTTTACTATCCACAAAGTTGAGGGTGATTACGAATTAAAACTTTTTTGTCCCCATAAAGGCTCAGGAAAGCTCAAAATAACATAAAACATGATGTCTGAGGTGTCAAGAAAGAAACTCTATAAGAGGTTAATTAGAAGACCTTATACCACTTAGAAGTGTGTATGTAAGTGCGGAGTAAATATCTTGAAAGAAATATATAAGAAAGCCTGCCCGTGTAGACGAGATGGTAATACTAGCTCTCTCCACTAACCTCTACAGTCTTCAAATTGATTCGGATTAGCTCTTTACGGCTCTCAAAATTTGGAAGAGGGATATATATACGCTTTTCCAGTCTCCTCCTGCATTTCATGGAGATCACATGGGATCAGCAAAAGCAGGCTTGTACACTCAAAAGAGAATTTCTGGAAGAAGAATATTACCAATAATAGTCCCCAGTTTTTGTTTATTTTTTATTAGTGACAACTAATCATATTAAGTATAAACAGAAGTAGGGAACTCAAAGTCTCAAACCTTAGCGCTTCATCTATGTCCCATGGGAAATTAGTGGCAGCCAAAACCATTACTATTTTTCGGGTCCCATCCTCATTTGTGGAGCTATTATTTACACCATCAACCTGAACTAGAAGTTCAGATTTTACTCTTCTAGATGATTCATGCTCCCCAGATGCCCTGATGACGTAAAGTTAATTCAATCAGAGGTCAAGTTTAAGAGTAAGAAGAGGACTGAATCAGTGTTGTATTACTCAGGGTCAAGTGGCAATATGAAAGAAGCAGTGTTAATCTTTGAATCCTTGAACCAGACACAAATTAGAGACCAATAAGATATATGTGCCACATAAACAAGGACTAAAAAAAACCATGTTGAGAAAAAGCTCATGAAAAGCTATTACATGAGACGAGCACTTGAAAATATAATGACTTACCCACGAGCATTGCATAGAGAATCAATCTCATCAATGAAAATCGTACTGGGTGCATAGGCTCTTGCAAGATCAAACAAACATCGCACCATCCGTTCACTTTCCCCACGCCATTTCGAAGCTAAAGTAGCAGAGGAAACATTGAAGAAAGTGGTCCCGCATTCAGTAGCAACAGCTTTAGCTAACAGTGTCTTCCCGGTTCCTGGTGGACCAAACATAAGAACACCTTTCCATGGTCTCCTAATTCCCTGCAAGCATATAAATCATAAGCTTCGCACTATCAAATGTTTATTTCGGTAGGCAGAATAACCAGAGAGAAGACAAGCACTTGATAATTGAAATTCAAATGTGTTGATACAATAAAGCTGAAATGATTAGGCCAATTAAAATATCAGTTACTTTAATACCAAGTTTACTATGCCTTGTGAGCTTTTGATTCAGCAAAATAAATTCATCTGCATATGCCTATTTCCTGAGACTTCACCAACAATGGTCATATGAATGAAATAGCATATTTTATGAAATCTATGTCACCAGATTGAAAAACTAGGGTGTAGATAGTGCTAACACGCTCACAATTACAAGTTAAAAATCGTTTCACATCAGGATACCAAATTATCGCTCTTACTTGGACAAAATCATATACTGAAATTAAAATGTTCAAGTCCAGCATGCCAAAATTTGAGAATTCAAAATTAAAAATATACCTGGAAGTATTCAGGCATCCACAAGGGAAGAACAACAGCTTCTTCTAGAAGTCTTTTGGCCTCAGTTAGCCCTGCAACATCATCCCATCTCACCCCAGGAGCTGTTTCCAACACATCCCTTTCAAGCATCTCAGCCAAGTCTGGATCAGGACCTTCATATTGTCCTTTCTTTGATTTACCATCTTCAGCATCACCATTCTATCCATTAAGTAAACAGATTGTGAGAACACAGCAGTAAATATATGAGGTTAATAGCATGTTTGTAACATGTTGTCTTCAGCCGAAACTGCCTTTTTGGCCAGAACAAACGCATAGTCAAACACAGAATAAATGGTTTTAAAACTGGCTGAACTCTAGCACACTTTCTATCCAATAATACCCTATAGCTTGATGTTTCATATAGCCAACAAAAAGAATAAAGTCGAACCAGTAGCAATGGCTAAAATTTTTTTATGTTGATATGGCCCCCAAACTTCCCATCTACCGCAAAAATGTATATATTAGAAAAGATGGGAAAGAAAAAGAAAACGAAGCTCATATAAACCAGCTTAGGAGAAACTTGAACATTGAACCAATTGTTTGATTGAAAACTGGAAAACTTAGGAGGGATATATGTAACAATATAAACCAGCTTTAAGCACACTCACCCATGAATAAGCAATATCTTAAAAGAGAAAAATATTCTGCAAAGGTGCTACTCATGGCGATCAAAGTATTGATTTTTGGTTGAGTCCAAGGACAATTAGATTACAAATAGCATCCATACACAATGAATTTCTACATTAAACTTTACAGAAGAAACCAAATTCGGGAGCAGAAATGTCCAAAAAATATCATGCCAATCAGATAGCATTATAGAACTTACAACTGAATCTGCCTTGCTAGACTTTCCAGAACCAGTGCCTTTCTTTCCTGTAGTTGATGCCCGAGCTCCTGAGTTAACCTTGGCTGTAGCACCACTCTTTGCCCCACGCCCAGTGGTACCTGTTCTTGTAGAACCTCGAGCCCAACTCCCATCTTGTGGTGACTTCCGAGTGCCCACTTGACCAGACCTTGTGGGTCTTCTAGTTGTATTGTCTCGACTGGGTGGCCTCCAGACATCAGGATCATCCATGGGACCACTTGATGAAGTTGGATATTCATCTAATGGTTGAAAAACGAATGATGATTTAGTAGATATCGGAGGTGAACGAGGCCGTCTACCAGTGTTGGTTTCTTTAAAAGCCCTCCTCTCTGCATCTAGTTGCTTTACAACTTCCGTTTCTTCAGTAATGGCTTTCTTAGCATTCATCCATTTTGTACGAACTAAAGGGTCATCAACGGTGCTTAGGTGCCTGAAATCATGTTTTAATCATCAGAAGCTGAATTAATATCAAAACGTGTTGTCCTAATAAATCCATGAATTTCCTTCAAATTCTCGTTACTACTGCTTCAAAATGATGCAAGATTCAACACTGAAATACTTCAATGTATGACGGTAGGGCTGAAATCAGTGATAGAGTGAAAAAACTCTGATCATCACAACGTTTGATGATACGGTTGTTCACAGCAACTACGATATACTTAAATGCAGAAGCTTTTCTTAATCCATTCAACAGTGAATCTACCAAGACAACATATAATTTAAACAATTAAACCAAATCGCCATTTTCGTAAACCACCTCCACTAGGAAAAAGATTCAACAAAACCGAAGGTTTCAAGGCCGCTGATGCTGAACGATGGGAAAATAAACCAATAATATATAACAATTCTTAACCCAGAAAAAGAAGTTTAACAAGAAATGAAAGAATACTTGTTGATCTGTGCAACTGCCCCATCGAAGAAGATGATGGAGGTATCATAGAGTCCTTCAAGAGCGTAGTCTCTCGCCAATTTGATGTGCTCTTGCAAGCCCGCCAATGAAGTCCCACCCATTTCTCGTTCTCTCGGATTTCTTCAACGGATCCCTCAAGTTAGCAACTTAGTCACAGTTCAGAAAAACTCTCAGTTCATATGAATATAAAAAGAATAAGCTCAACGGATCCCAGCCACTCTCTCTCTCTTAACTCCCCTTGCTCCGAAGCAGCAGTAAAGAGAGAAGGAGTCCGACGGCGGCGTTTAAACGTCGAGGGAAGGGACAGGGCGGTGAATGTAATGACGAACCTGCCCCTAGAACCTTCAGATATTCACAGAAACACGGGTCGCGCACTTGTGCGCTTGAATTGTCAGAGTCGTTGGATTGGACCCACACCCAGCAGCAACATTGCTTATCATAACTGAAATCACGTTGCAACGTTGTGTGGCCCAGTTTATTTTAATTTACTCATTTTGCTTTTCATTTCCTTTTGATGTTTCTTTCTTTTTCTTTCTCGTTCTTCATTCGATTTGAAATAGTAAATCCCAAAAGTTGGTTAATTTATGGATCATCGGCATAGAGATTCTTCAGCAAAACTGAAAGCACCACCAACGGTTGGGTGCTATAATCTTTCTTGATGTTGCCAGCACTCTCCAACGTTATAATTTGAGGACCATGCACTCAAAAATAATATTGTCTTAGGGAGGACAAGTAGATAAACAACAGTAGAAGCAAAGGAAGACCGGAAAATAAAATAAAAGTAACTGCATGTTTGGAGTAACGTTAGGAAGTCTCATAATTCAGTTAGGTTTAATTAAAAAATAGTTAAATGAAAAAATAATGTTTGATACGGTTTAAAAGCAACCACTTTTTGTTTAAGAACCACTTTAGAGTTGAATTTATTCTAACTTTTAACTTTTCTCCAAATTTAAACCTTCTAAAACTAAATTTTTTAGTACATCATCTAAACAAATTTTTGTCAAACTAACTCCATAAAATTACATCCAAATATAAATCACATTACACTAATTAATTTTTATTCTAACTTTAATTTACAAAAATTGATTGAGATAAAAGTCATATTTACCAACATTAATCTAAATAAGCCCTGAGAAAACTTTGAAAACATTAGAGGGTCTATAGGCCTCGCCAGTCCCCTTCCTTCCACCACTGAGTACAAGGTAAGGATATTGAATGAAACCAATCACTGGCTTATTAGAAACGAGAAATATGCTTTTCATTTTTTTGTAGGAAACTAAGGCAGTCAACACATTGCATACTTGGTACATAATTCTATCGACCATGCCTAATTTACACTCGAGACCAGAACAATTAATCCTATGATGAAGCATGAAACAATGTTGCATGTACTAGAATCCATTGAAAAATGAGAGTGACAAATCCTGGCTACTCTAAAGCTTATCCAGGTAGAGGGTAAAAATCCCTCAATTATTTAAAATCCACTGAAAAATGGATTTTGCTCTTCAAATTATTCTATCATTGTTCACTTTTGATTGTAGGAATGTACTGAGATATAAATTTTGGTGTTGGCTTGGAAAGTTATCAAGGCCACTACACCAAACCATCTCTAACAAGTTCTTCCAAGCCCCTCTTGAGCTTTTCTGCAGCAGCTTTGCAATCATTCTCTGTCAAGCCTCCAAATGAAATTCGAAGATTCCCCGGAGACCCGCAAGCACTTCCCGGAATAACAGCAATCCCGTGCCGGTGAGCAAGCCAGTGAACAACTTTGAAATCATCGGTGTGGCCATCTGGGAGCTTTGCCCATAAGTATATAGCTCCTTCTCCTCCTTTAACAGAACCTTCTCCAAGAGGGGACAGCGCCTCCAAAACAATTTCCCGGTTCTTCACAAGACTTTGTACTCTCTCTGTAATCCACTCGGGTCCCACTTCTAATGAGTGGAGGGCGAGGTACTGCGAGATTATCGAAGCACAGATAGGAATGTTGTCTTGGACTTTGAGAAGCTGGGCAGCAAAACCTTCTACTTCAGATGGATATGCTATCTGCAATAATCAAATTATTTCAGTCCACAATTCCTCCAATCAACATTAATGAACCTATGAAAGTTTACGCTTTATGCAGCAGAAAAACGTAACTAACAGAATGTACTACAGGTAGTTTCTGAAACACACAAAGCCCACAACATAAATTTTCAAGCTGCAGACTTGGGAGTGTCAAATTAGTTCTTTAACACTTAAAATTTCAAGCAGAATCACTTTAACAGCAATAAAGAATACCGGTAATGTCAAGCCCTCATGATGTCCAATGTGTCACCAGTAATGGTAATATAAATTTCAATGATTTTGTTCCCTGGTAATGAAAATAATCACAGATATAAGAAGTAATACTTACATATCCCACACGCCACCCCATCATTCCATATGCTTTTGAGAAAGAGAAAACGTTAACAATGTGATTTCCCTCCACACAAGAGTGTTTCAGACCATCATACATAAAATACCTGCATCACATATTTTTTTATTCATAGAAGAAACAATTAGAATATAAACCTGCAATGCAAGTGAAAGGTTTAGAGACATTAGTAAGAAAATCTTTGAGACAACCGTCAATGAACATCATTGTAACTGAATCTCAGTGATCTTCAAAAAAAGGGGGGGGGCAAATATGTACAAGGCTGTAATATCCTAGACATTCTTTCTCATCATTTCTGCCAATCATCGAATAAATGAAATTACTGCTGTTGTGATTGTAGCATTAACAACTTACTCATATGTATTGTCAACAACAAGCCAAGAGCCAGCTTTCAGGCAGAGATCAGAGATCCTCTGGCCAAATAAGAGAAAGTAAATTGCTTAGAAATTGGAGGGAAAACTAATATTAATTTAAAGGTTAATTACCAAATTCATTGTAGTAATTATCCTGCAAGGACAAATACAAATATAGCACATATGGTTGAATCTGAAACTTTCAAAAGAAACTGAAAAGCCAAAAAGACAAAACTTGAATGGAAAATCTCCAATATTGACAAAATCAGAACAGAAACAAATATCGCAGTCAAAGAGGTGAAGCGGGGAACCTCAAGAAGAGGCGCTGGAATATAGGTTCCAGATGGGTTGCCCGGATTAACAACAGTGACAAGCTTTGGGGTAGGTTTAGTTTCTGACAATATCCTTTCCAACCAATCTGAAAAATCAAAAACTTCTATAAACAACAGAGAGAACAAAATTGCAGAAGGAACTGTAGTACTATACATTGAGAAGACTAATGTCTGACAGATATTAGTTAATTGTCCACAATTTTTGCTGCAAGAATAAGAGACTGCATTGCACAGATAGTTTCTCATCAGGGTGTACTACTTGGATTATGAGCCCGTTTGGAATAGCTTATAAGTAGTTTTTCAATAGTGATTTACGGAATACGAGGCAAATATGTGAGAGGAGTTTTGTCTCGAATTCTATAAAACGTGCTTATAGGGGATTTCTTAAACCCTCCCAAACAAGCACTATAACTATAATCACAGGAAACAGTAAGCTTCATCAGAATTCTTACCTGCATCTGGATGAAGTGTTTTGGGGTCACCAGGGCCCACAAGTATATTGGTGATGCCAGTCATTTGGAAGGACATGTAAGCGTTGAAATAGTAAGGTGCAAACATAACCACCGAATCCCCCGCATCACACAGTGTAAGGACTAAATTCACAAATGCCTGCATTTGTAAGAGGTGTTAATACTGAAGATACTCCCTCCGTTCCTTATTATAAGAGACAAATAACCAAATTACGTTGATAAAAAAAACAGTTAAAATTAGTTGAGGACAATTAATATGTAAAAAGTATAATGTTTTTTCCAACAATGCCCCCATTAATAAAGAGAGAGAGTATAAGAGAGAACAATTAAATTATTAAAAGAAAGAGAAGTGGGAGGGAGAGAGAATATGAGTTGGAGACAAAATAAATAGGGGTAAAATAGAAAATCAATACAAAAAAATAGAGACAACCTTTAAGTGTCTCTTATATATGGGAACATGCCATAAGCATCAAATGTCTCTTATAATAAGGAACGGAGGGAGTATCTTTGAACGAGTAGCACATTAGTTGAAAGATAGAAACCAAACCGTCCATGGAAAGCTATGAGAACTCAGTAAATAATCATTAGCCATCAGTTACTAGGTCAAATATCCACTTATGAATGATAATGAATTGAACAATACAAGGTACAGTTCATCCTGACGGTTACAATTAGGCTTCCCTCATCTGTTGGATCCTAGGCCTATTCAAATACTTGTACATGCCCTTTTCTTCAAAAATTATATATGCTCTCTTTTTTCTGTTCTGATAAAAATAGTGAACATACAGGGACAATTATATAATAGAGCATCATTAGTCACCTGATTAGCACCAGCTGTAACCATCACCGAAGACTTGTGCAGATTATTTTCATGGTGCAACTGCATGTAAAAAACAAGAGAATCGTTTGAAATGATAACCAAGATCCATTTTCAGATTTAGTCAATTTTAGAAACTGAAAACAATTAAGATGCAAATAACCATTAATAAAAAATCCACTCATGTTGAATAATTAACAATGCAAAAGACCCAAACAAAAGGCGTTTTCAAAAAACAAGGAAACCAAAAGTCGAAAACACAAAGCAGTTTGTGACAAATATATAAAGCAACCTAAAACCGAATATTGAGTAAGCCAAACATCACATCTAACTGAGCCCCAACAAATTCAGAGGCAAAAGGCCTGCCCTGGAATGCGGAATTTGTATTGATCAACTTAATCCCAACGTTATCTAATTGCAAATGCCAAAGCTCAATCATAAATCATCAGTAGAACCTACGTTGAAACAGAATATAATCTTACAGATTCTAAACGTTGAAACACTTCAGTAGTTTAATATATCCCATAAGATATCACAAATTACCTCAACTTGACCATAACTACTTTTTGGCCTATGAATTATCAGTTCAAGTGAAGGTAGAAGAAAATAACGCATATGACTCAAAAAGGTTATCATCCTTCAGCGAAATAATATTATCACCTATGTCTATGATACAGGTTATATTGAATGGACCCAAAACCAAAAAAAAATGCCCCCATTCTCAAATGAAGATATCCAATGAGTTAGGCATAGTTTTCTACAAGTGCAATTTGTAGGATAAAACTTAACCAGTTTAGTAGTTTACTTTTCTGATCAATGCCTCTCTAAGTTCAGGAAGACCTTCATCAGCACCATAGC